AAGACACTGCCAGTGAGAGTGAGACCCTCATGGGAGGGCTGAAGCCAGGCTTGGAGACAGCGGAAAGGAACGGAGCCCGGTGGTGTGGCTTAGTGGTTGAACATTGGCCTGTAAACCAGGAGATCACAGTTCAATTCCTGCCATGGCACCTGCCCGGGTTTCGGGCTCTATCCCCAGTGTCGGGCATGCAGGAGGCAGCTGATTAATGATTCTCTCATCAGTGATGCTTCTCTCTCTCCCTTCCTCTCTGAAATCAATAAAATATATATTTTTTAAGAAAAGAAAGGGAAGAGAAACACTGGTCAAGGTCACTTAGCTCCTTCGTGGGGAGCCAGGACTCCCCTCAGGCCCAAGAGCAGCCTGAGCAGCTCACCTGGCTGGCATCCCGGTCCCGGGCAGTTCTGCTCTCCTGGCGGGTCCTCGGTGATCTTGGGCAAAACAAAGCTGTTTCCGAGTTTATGGCACTCCTCCCCCAACACCTCGGAGGTCCTGAACCCTAGGGAACAAGCCTGAGTCTTCTCGTCCAACCCTGCAGTGTGGCTCAGAGCGGCCCCCTCCCTCCCGGCCCATCCCTCTTGGGCGTGGGCTGCCCCTCAGGCCTCGGTTTTGTCTCTGAGGTGAAGGAATCCCACACCCGCCTCCTCAGGGCATGTTGAGTCTCAGGTGTCAATGCCCGCACCCACCCCGGCAGGCAGTGTCTGAGCCCGGCTCTGCAGGCTGTGGGCAGAGCAGACCCCAGGGCTCTGTCAAGACCCACAGCTTGGCATCTCTCCAGAAAGCGGCCGTGCTTTGCTCAGCAGATGAGCTTGAGTGGGAAAAGGAAGGAAAACTCTCCATCTGACAGTTCAACAATAGCTCTGCCATCACCGTGGCCTCCGCACCGCCCTCATCGCACAGCTGCCCCCAGAGCACCCGCCGTGTGCGGGCACTCAGTGGTCAAAGCCAGGCCGGTGCCCACGTGCCGCCCGGAGTGCGCCCGCAAGGACCTGCCTGGGGTCAGCACGAGCAGAGCGGGGTGGCACTTGCTGCTTTGCGGTGGAGCCCTCTGACTTGCAGGAGCCTCCTCAGTTCGCACAGCCTCCTCCTCTGTGTGCTGTGACTGCAGAGCCGGCCCTGGGTCTGAGGCTTCCCTCCCTCCCTCTCTTCAAGGCTCCCTCCTGCCCAGAGAATGGCCTCCAGCTCCTGCTGCTGGGCCACAGGGAACCAGCCCACCTGCCTTGGGCAGCACAGTGTGACAGAGAGCAGGTGGGGCGCGACCACTGGCCCAGCTGGGGTTCCTGATGAGAGGGGCCGGGCGGAGCCTGGGAGCATTCCCCGCCCAGAGTCTCCCTTCCTGGGTTCAAAGCTGGCCTTTAAAAAAAAAAAAATCATTACTCAAGGACATGTGCATTGACTTTTAGAGTGAGGGGATGAGAGGGAGGAAGGGAGGGAGGGAGGGAGGGAGGGTGAGAGAGAGACAGAGGGAGAGAGGGAGAGAGAGAGGAGGGAGAGAGGGAGAGAGAGAGAGAGAGAGAGGGAGAGAGGAGAGACTGGGTCAGGGATTGAACTTGCAACCTAGGAATGTGTCCTACCCGGGAACTGAACTTTTGGTATATGTGATAACACGCCAACCAGCTGAGCCACACAAACCGGCGAAGCTGGTCCTTCATGAAGCGGGTAGGAATAAGTCAGGTGGAGAATGCAAGGAAGGACATTCCCAGCTGTGGGAACAGCCTTTGCAAGGAAAGGTCCCTGGAGCAGAGCTTGCTTTGGGAGTGGCTGGGCTGGGGAGATGCCTGGGCAGTTACCTCCTTAGGGCGCCTTGGCAGGTGTGGAGTTTGGCCAGCCCTGCACTTAGAAGGCTCTCTCCAGCTGCATGTGGAGAGAGGGGCCAGGCAGCACTGAGGAGGAGGAGCTGGGAGTCCCTGACGCTGCCCAGAGCTCCCACAGTGTGGCCAGCACCGCACCACAGCGGCCACCAGAGGGCGCTGTGAGCCAGCAGGCCGTGGAGACCTCGGTGTCAGGAAGCTGGGCGGGAACAGCTGTGTCTGCGAATGTACCTGAGCAGGTGTGGCCACGCCCCACGCCTGTACATGGCTGTTTCACTTGTTCCTGAGTACGTGCATGTGCATTTGGGGTATGTGGACGCAGAGGGCTCTCTGGTGGGGTTGGGACTCACCAGGGTGTGTGAATGAGCAAGAGCACGGAGGTGAGAGCAGGGCCCCGCTTCTTCCACTCCGCAGTCACCCCTTCCACGCCGTCTACCTCCCTCTGCCTGGCGTGTGCTCCCCAGACATCCTGGGCTCCTTCCTCAGGTCCGGCTCAGGTGGCCTCCCAGGGAGGCTTGTAGAGCTCCCTCCTTAAGTTCCAGCCCGCCTACCTCTGTCCCCGTCTCATCCTGCTCCTTTCCCTCCTTCCGCCACAGGAATGGCCATCCTCTGACTGCGGTATTTGCACATGGGCATTTCCTGGGTGCACTCACTAGTCCGTCGCCTCCGAGGGCTGGGCGTTGTCTGTCTGGCTCAGAGCTGTGCCCGCGTACGAGGCACACATAAGTGCTCAATCAATAGCTATCGAATGAATGCGTTTCCCCAGTCCTGGTTCAGACCACCCTCTCTCCAGCCCGGTCACCCCGGGCCCGGCCCACCTCAGCTCACACCCACATCAGTCCCTTTCCTCTCGTGCCTCAGCTCCCTTGAGTCTGCAGAGAGGGGTGTTTGGGACTTTTCTCCTCAGGGTCAGGGTAAGAGGCAGCTGTTGTGACCCTGTCAAGCGCCCTCCTGTTTCTGAAGAGCCTCACTGTACTGCTTCGGCAGAGGGCAGCCCGCAGATACTGCTGCAGCGGCCGGAAACAGCTCTCCCGTGGCGCTCCACGTCCTCCCGTGCGGCCCCTTTCGTACCTACAACCCATTCTAGGGAGACTCTTGCTTCTCTGCCTGAGAGGCTCCTACAGATCCTTCAAGGTCTAGTCTTCAGTCACCTCCTCTGAGGAGCCTTCCCTGACCTCACCCAGGTGGAGTCTGGCACCTTCCTGGGACTCCTGCTCATGCATCTATTTATAACACCCTCATGAGTTTTGTAATTCTTGGGCTGTCTGTCCGGCTCCCTGACTAACCTTGTCAACGTCTGCACTGGAGGCCTGAGTCATGGGGTGCCTCGGAGGTCAGCACGGGCCTAGAGGCATTTCATCCATATCTGTGTCATGCTCCCGTCCTTCCTTTGTTTAGTCCCCTAATATTTATTAGACGCCTTCTCTGTGCTCGGCCTGGGCTGTGCGCTAGGAGTGCAGAGAGAATGAGCTGGCAGATGCCTGCCCGGAGGGCCCAGTGTCGGGGACACCGGTGCATGAGTGCAGTGCAGAGAGACAGCGATGTGGGCACAGGAGGCCTCCTGGAGAAGGTCTGCAGGACGAGAGGGAGCCAGCCCAGGCGTGATGCTGAGAGAGGGGAGGGGTGTGCCAGCAGGGGGAGCAGCTGGCAGGGCGGCCCTGCCGCAGGAAGGGGATTGGTGTGTTCAAGGGGCAGCAGGAAAGCCCAGGGGCAGAGGGCAGGGGAATATGGCAGGAGGGAAGGTCCGGTGGCCGGTAGGGACTTGAGCCCAGAAGGCCCCTGGGCCACGCTGGCAGCCCTGGCCCGGGAGTTGCGCCTGTGCTGTCTTCAGAGGATAGCAGCAGGTCCTGAAGGGAAATGACGGGCCAAGGCCACATAGCCCTCGGGACAGAGTGCGATGGGCCCTCCAGACTCCCAGGACGGGAGGCAGCACGGCGCTGCAGGCGGGGGCCCACAGTGTGTTTGCAAACGTTTTCTGGGCGTTTAGGGAGGGCCAGGCGGTGAGCCAGCAGTTCCCAAGCCCGAGCTCAGGAGCCCGTTTCAGAGAGGCCTCTGCCCCATGGACAGCAGCGAGCCGCTCAGCGACCGCTGGGGGTGAGGGGAGGGTGGAACCCTCACCTGTCTGTGTCCACAGCCGAGGTTTCCACCCCTGCTGGGAAGGGTAAGCGAGGGACACAGGAAGAGGAGGGTGATTACAGGTCTCCCCTACCTCATCCGGCTGCCCCATCACTGTGTGGGTGGGGTGGGGCCGTGCAGGGATCACCCGTTTTACAAAGGGGCAAGCAGAGGTCAGCACCCTGCTGCGCGTTTCCAGTAGGCGCCGGCGGCCGCAGGCTCAGCCGGTGCTTCCTGCACCGCCTGTGGCTCTCCGCCTCGCCCGCCCCAGCACCAGCCACCAGCGGCGAGGCCTGGCCGTGTGGCCATTACAGATGCGCGGACTGAAGCCCCAAGAGCAGGGCACCGGACGGTCACCTCCCAAGGCTCAGCTTCCCCACGCGCAGAGGCGGCGGCGCCGGCGGAAAACAGAGCCTCTCTAGCCTGTGGGGGCCGCACTCCGGGGCGCACTCTAACCCCCGCCCCCGCAGCGCCCTCCCCCCGCCCCTCCCCCCAGCACTGCCTCCCCCCGGACGCCCCCTAGGCCGGGCTTCCCCGCGGCGTGCGGCCTGGGACCGAGGGACTGGCGGCGGCCTGGCCTGGCCACGGGGGCGGGGCCGGGGGCGGGGGGGGGACCGGGGGTGGCCGGGGGCCGGGGGGGTGACGGGGTGACGGCGGCGGAGTGACGGGGGCGGGGCCGGGGGCGGGAGGGGGGGCCGAGGGCCGGGGGGGGGGGTGACGGGGTGACGGGGTGACGGCGGCGGAGTGACGGGGGCGGGGTGACGGCGTGACGGGGGCGGGTGACGGGGCGGGGTGACGGGGTGACGGCGGCGGAGTGACGGGGGTACGGGGATGGGGGCGGGGCGTGACGGCGGCGGCGGCGGCTGATTGGCCGGCTGGGGCGGAAGAGCCGGCGCGGAGGGCGGGTCCCGCTCGGTCTCCCCACCGGCCCGGCGCCCTCAGTCCGCCCGCGTCGCCCGCCGCCCGCCGCCCGTCACCCCGCCGCCGCCGCCGCCGCCCGTCACCCCGCCGCCGCCGCCGCCGCCATGCGCCCGCGGGGAGCGCCGCGCCCTCGGTTCTAGCCCCGCCGGCCGCGCCATGGAGTCGCCCGCGCCGAGCCCGCCCGCCGGCGCGCCCCCCGCCAAAGGTAGGCGCCGGCCCGGCCTCCCTGCACCCGGTTCAGGCTCCGCTGCCACCCCCCCCCACGTCACCCCGTCTCCTTCAGGCGGAGCGGCCGCGCCGGGCTCCTCCGGGACCTCGCCGCCCCGCACCCCCCGGCCCCCCAGTGCTGCCCGCCGCCCCCCCCGGAGCCGGCCGCTGCCCGCGCCTCCGGCTCCGTCCTCCCTGACCACAACCCCCCTCCTCGCGGCGCAGTCCCTGCCCCGGAGCGCCCCCGTCCCCGGGCCGGCCCTGCGTCCGGCCGGCAGCGGGCTTGCTCTGGCCTGCTCCGAGGAGCGCTTCCCGGAAAGTTTGGGAGGTGGCGCCTGCCGGCAGCAGGATTTGTCATGTGTGGGGGCTGGGGGAAAGGGGATTTTTTGCGGGAAGAGGAAAACCTGGTTTTGGCATGTGGTGTCTCACGGCCGGGCTGTGTGGGAGATTCCAAACTGGACGTAGCAGTAACAGTGGGCTGCCTCTGCCTCCCTCCCGCAGCCGGAGTGTCACTAGGCCTCAGTTTCCTTCTCTGCGAAATAGGCGTGACCACACCTCCCTTCCCTGTACTGAGTATCCTGTGACCGGGGAACACTAACACGGTTAAGCAGGAGGGGGTGGGAGGCCCCGGCGTGGTGTCTGGCCACAGTAGGTGCTTCGTGCGGTCCTGATACCATGGTGACTTTTTCCCTTTTCTAGAAAGGGCTCAGCCTGTGGGGCCAGCCTTGCCTCTGCAGGTGGGGAGTCGGAGCCACTGGCACTGGTGGGTCTCTGTGTGGGGTTCTCACCTCTTCCCCGGGAGGGGCGGGGGCCGGGGCCGGGAGGGTGTGCGGGGGCCGGGGCCGGGGCCGGGAGGGTGTGCGGGGGCCGGGAGGGTGTGCGGGGGCCGGGAGGGTGTGCAGGGTCCGGGACCGGGGCCGGGAGGGTGTGCGGGGGCCGGGAGGGTGTGCGGGGTCTGGGGCCGGGGCCGGGAGGGTGTGCGGGGTCCAGGGCCGGGGCCGGGAGGGTGTGCGGGGTCCGGGGCCGGGGCCGGGGCCGGGAGGGTGGCGGGGTCCAGGGCCGGGGCCGGGAGGGTGTGCGGGGTCCGGGGCCGGGGCCGGGGCCGGGAGGGTGCGGGGTCCGGGAGGGGCTGTGTGGCTGGAGCAGGGTAATTGCCTCTTACATAAACGGAGTCAGAGGCCTGACCATGGCCCAACCTCCGTGAGTAACTCCGGAGGCACTCGGGTGGTGGCGGGGAGGGCCTTGCGCTGCAGACCGTGTGGGATTGGGATCCGGGAAGCCGGAAGCCACCGGAGAGCTGGGCACGAGCCACTTCCCCTGGCCAGGCCGGCTCAGGACAGTCCTGCCTCCCGTCTGCTCTGTGGAGGGAAGCGGCTGAGCGGAGTGTGGAGGCCCTCCGGTCTGCCTGCAGGGACGCAGGGTGGGTGGCGGCTGCCTGCAGGCTGCGAGGGGAGAGGAGGCAGCGGGTCCCGGCTGTGCGGCCTCAGCCCTGCCTGCGCCTCCCGAGGTGTGTGAGCTCAGGTCACAGAGGGTGTTGGGTGGGGGAGAGGGAGACCCCCAGGCCTTGCCAGCCCCTTTGGGGTCTGTGGAAGGATGTGGGGGCGCTACATGCCCCTCACCGACATCCCCACGGCCCCTTCCCTGAGCTCCCCCAGGCGCCAGGCTCTCATTCGCCCTCAGGGCCCCGGGCAGGCCAGGAGCGGGCTCAGGCCGGGCTGAGGTCCAGCGGTGACAGGTGGAGCGTGGGCTCTGCCTTCTCCAGAGGCCCCCGGCCCCTCTCCTCCGGTGCTGGGTGCTGAGCTGAGCTGGTGACTCCGCTCACCCCGTCATCCCGGGCCCGGCGGTGCCTCTGCAGGCCATGCCCACGCGGGGCCGAGCCTGGGCGGTGCCTCTTCTGGGCACGGCCTTCCGGTCGGCACGTTTCCCTCCCCGCCCCGCCCGCTGCACAGACGGCAGCACCGAGGCCACTGGGGCGGGGGCTCCTCTCCGGGCACAGGGCCCCACGTGGTGCCCCGGCTCCTCCAAGGGGCTGAGCGGTACCCGTGTGGCCGGTGTGGCCGCACTTGGCCTGCGGGAACTGCCTCTGAGCCAGTCTTCTGAGCCTGTCTGGGGCGCCCTGCCTCCTCCTGCGTGCTCCCCATGGGAGAGGCCGGCCCCTCACCCACAGGCCCCTGTGTGCTCCCCACGGGGAGAGGCCGAAGCCAGAGGCCTGGCACCGGGCCAGGGCAGGAGCAGGTCGGTCTGCTGGTCCTGATTCGCTGCCTCAGTTACTGTGTCCTTGGTGGCCCACACACCCTGTCCTGCCCCCCGCCCCGCGCCGTGAGGCCCCGCCAGGCCTCGGTGGTTGACCTCTGTGCCCGTGCCCGCCTGCTGCCGGTGCTTGTCTGTCCTGCTGTGTGCTGGGCCTTGGCCCCCGCAGTGCCCCTTCCAGCGTTGGGAAGACGGAGGTGGCACTGGGGGACTTCCTCCGCCCTGGTGTGACGCACAGGAAACTCTCCGCCTGGCCCGGGGCCTGAGGGAGCAAAGTTCTCAGCTGCCTGTGGGGACAGAGCCAGGGCCACAGAGGCTTCCGGTGGGTGAGTCAGCGGGCACTGGGCACTGACTCACCTGCCGGGCATGCCATCCTGCTGGCTGCTGCCGTCTGGTGGGTAAAAAGGAGACTGAGCCAGCCTCGCAGGCCTGCTGCTGGCTCTGAGCTGGGCAAGGGGGTGGCTTCCTTCTTGGACCTCAGGCTGGGCAGGGACCCACCCCTCCTGGCCCCGTGCCAGCCCCGCCCGGAATCTCCGGCGAGGCCAGCGCCTGCTTCCTCTCGCTCACGGAGCGGGAGGTGGTGCGCCCTTTGCTGCCATCGCCGGGTTCTGCTGGGACCCGGGGCTGAGGAGCCAGGCGTGCGGGCGGCCTGAGCCAACAGACAGGTGTGGAGAGGGCCAGCTCAGCCCCGCACTGCGGGCGCGGGACACGCAGTGTCCAGCCCACTCTCTGCCCTCTGCCAGGGGCTTCAGTCCCGGGGGTGGCCCACCTGCAGAATGGGAATGGGGACCCGCCTCCTGTCCTGCTGGCGGCCACACAGGTGGCTGCAGACATTCATTTTCCTCTTGCTGAGTGTCAAGCACGGGGCACAGCCAGACCGTCCTCTCCCTGCGAAGAGCCTGGACACCGGGCAGAGCCGAGCTTAGGGGGCAAGAATGAGCCTGTGTTTCCAATTTTGGTTGTCCCATTGCCTCCTGCCTTCCTCACTGGCCTCTGTGACCCCCAGTCTCCGCTCTGTAAAGGGGGAAGGCCCTCCCTTGCGGGGTGCAATAAGGACCCACATTGCCGGTCACAGGACGCCGTCTGCCGAGATTTTGTTATTGCAGGCGCTTGTTGGTGGGCGAATCCACAGGCCCGGGCCTTTTGATGATGGACTTGGAAGCCTGTGACCTGTGGATGGTCAGGGTGCAGGGCCCTGCAGTGCCAGCCAGAGCGGACCAGGCTCTGTCACACTGGTCCCCAAGCTGGTAGTGGGGCTCCCGTTGCCGCCTGGTCTCCCTGGGAAGGGCCCCCGGGAGCAGATGGCACTGGGTGCATAGGCCTGCCTCTCCCGGAGCATGGCGGGGAGGGGCAGGGGGCTCAGGAGGACAGGAGCCGCCGAGGCTGGCCACACATTTGGCAGAACATCCCTGGTGCCAGGCATGGTGCCAGCGGGGGGAATGCGGGGTGAGCGCGGAGCCTCGACTCTCACAGAGCTCTCTCGGCCGGGGAGCAGGGGGTGCTGGGAAAGGTGGTCCGAGAGCCAGGCCACGGCCCGGGGGTCAGGGGGCCTCAGAGGAAGCGCTGGGCAGTACCAGGACACACCTGGACCCCTCGCAGCACTGGGAGCTCACCCCAGGAAGTGGCTGTACCTGCCCCGCCTTGTTGACCAGCGGGTGGGGCAACACTGAGCGCGGGGTGCGAGTTGGGTGAAGGCATCTCGGGCCTCAGGGCCTCATCGCAAAGCCCAGCAACAAACCCAGAGCAAGAGCGCCACAGGCCGCCCCTTCTCTCCGTGACGGTCCGTCCCGGCCCCGCCTCCGTCTCCTCCTCCTGGGTGTGGCGTCTGGTAGCACACTGACACGTGCTCAGCCATCATGAGCGGCTGGACTCCATAGAAAAGCCCAGAGGACTCATCTGGTTGGCACACAGGCGGGGAGGCCCAGCCGCGGGTGGGGTCAGTGCCGAGCCACAGGCGTCCGGCCTTGGCGATGTGGTGGGCTGTCCACCTGCGAAGTCCGCGGAGGCGAGGGTCCGGCGTCCACGGTGGGGAGGTGCCGGAGTCAGCCGCCGGCGGTCCCTGTGTTCGTCTTTCTGTCCTGTGCTCGCTGAGCCGAGGCAGCTACCCACGGCAGCTACCCACGTGGCATTTTCTGGAAGGGCCTCTGTCACACCTGGCAGTGTGCGGGTGTCCTCAGAGGAGCGTCCGCCATCGTCCTTCCTGCTCTACATCCCGCAGAGTGCGAGGGGAATGCGGACATCGGAGGAGGGAGCCGGCAGTGGGCAGCACCAGCGGCGCCTGGGTTCCCCATGGTCTGGCGATTCGTTGTTGTTTTATCACTTGACCTTGAGAAGCATATTTCATAGACACCAAAGTCAGTTGTTAACATGGGCTCATTTTGGTAAAATTCAGGCAAAGAGAGACATGTGTCTTTTACTTAAACAGCAGACTGAAGCTAGCTTTATTTCCTAAGGATTAATCTCAGATCGCATGAACCTGAAAAGCATTTGAGTCATGAATCTTTCCTCAGAGTCAGAGTACCCAGTCTTCACGCCCTGCCTTTACCTTCATTCTGCAGTGTCATCCGGATGCACAAAGTGCTTCGTGTTCCCCGCACACGTGTGTAGGCACACACAGACATAGCAGAGAAACTCTCAATTTGTATCTGTCCTTGGCCAGTTCAGTTCCAAATGAGTAAGAACAGCCATCGTTAATATCTCTAAGCATTGGGTTGACACCTAAAAGACACAGGTTGATTCATTTATTTA